GACATAGGAGAACCTGTACTGTAACATCATGTAACTCAGCTGTGCCCCAAATTTTCTGATCAAGGAGATTATGGAACCACAGAGGAATGTGATCGATGATGTACAGTGTGCCTGGGGAGAGTCACCTGGAGAGAAAACATTCTCTCAGGCTTTCATAGAGCAAATTGGTCAAGCAATGACCGTGACTCATCCACATGGCTGACACTGACAAAGGATCTACAAAGTGCAGTACAGGGTTACAGGATAAATCCTGAGGGGACTTGACTGACCTTGTCAGATACAAAGGTTACATTTCTTGTTATACAGGTCTTGCTTTGTCTTGGTCTTAACCATCCAGCAAAAAAGGATAAAAACAAGGTATATAAAGTAAAGCCACATTAATATGCTGAGCTGTAAAAGGCTCAAGTCAATAACTTCTGAGGATAACCCACTACTATTGTGAACTGCTGGACTGTGTTGGATTATTTTGCTGAATTCAAGCACCTATAGTATCTAGATGCCAATAGAATACCCACCTTTGACAGGACTAAACAAAAAAAAGGGGGATATAAAGGAAAGAACATTTTGTATTTGTATATACAAAATAATTAGGATAGATATACAGCTACTTTCGCTTAATTCAATGAAAGAGGTATACTAATAGTGTTTGGATAGGATATTGTCTGCTTCTTGTACCATGGATAGCCACTAAGAAGATAACAATGTATAATGTATTGATTATTGAAACTGTCCTACTAATAAAAAAAAATTAAAAATAGATGTATTTTGGAAAAAAAAAACAAACCAAGATACAAAATGTTCCCCAAAAGGCTCACTGTGGTGAAGGGCTGGTTGTCAGCCAATGGGCCTCTGAAGATAGCTGGGTGAATCCATAGCTCAGAGCTCACTAGGAAATGGGCCCGAATGGGATGAGGCGGGTCACTGGGAAATGGCATGGCTTTGAAAGGATGTTTGTCCCTGGCCCCTTCCTTTCTCCCTGGCTGTCGCTGTCTCTGATTCTGGTCCTCACAAAGTAACCAGCTTTGCACCACCATGTTTGGCCTCCCTTCAGGGCTAAAAGCAAGAGAGCCAGCTGATCATGAATGGAGACCCTGAAGCCATGAGCAGAAATAAACCTGCCTTTAAGTTGCTCTGTGCCAGTACTGGGGACTGAACCCAGGGCCTTTGCTGAGCTTCACCACCACCTTTTTTCTTTTTAAACAGGGTCTTGTTAAATTGTCTGGGCTGAGCTCAAACTTGCAATCCTTCCACCTCAGCCTCCAGTGTTGGGATTACAGCCCCACAGCATCATCCCCAATTCCCTTAAAAAACAATAAAAACCATATGATCATCTGAATAGATGCAGAAAAATTTTTTTATAAAATTCAACATCCCTTCATAATGAACTCTGGATAAATCTGGATAAAGCTATTCACATGTGAAAGGAGCATCCCTTGACATAATGAAGGCCACATACAGTAAGCCAGTGAATAGCACAGTGAGCGGGGAAAAGCTGAATGCTCTCCCTTTAAGATCTACAAGGCAACACACACAAAAAAAAAGATCTCCAAGGCAGGGACCCCTCTCACCACTGCTGGTCCACGCAGCACTGGAGGGCCCCGTCACAGCATGCGGAGGAAATGAAGGGCACCCAACTGGGAAAAACGGCACTGGGCGAAGAGTGGTCCTACACGTGGAAGACCTCAAAGACTACTAAAACAAGAGCTGAATAAACAAGTTTGCTAAGGTTGCAGGATAATCAACATATAAAACTGTAACTGTTTGTATATGCCAAAGGCAAATTAGCTGACGTGAGAAAGAATAGGGATGTAGCTCAGTGTGAAGGCCCCGTGCCTCAGAGCAGACGGACAAGCATTTGAAAAATGAACCTAAAAAGCACAGGAAATAAAGCAAAGACAGACCAGTGAATGGCATTAAAACAAACTTCTGCATGAGGAAGGAAAAAATAAGGAGACAAGCTACAGAATGGGAGAAAACACTTGCAGACTGTCTGATAAGGGCTTAATATCCAGAATAAAGGCGGGGCATGATGGCGCATGCCTGTGACCTTCGCACTCTGAAGGCTGAGGCAGGAGTGCTGAGAGATCCAGGCCAGCTGGAGTTACATAGAGAGCTCAGGACCAGGCTGAACTGCACATTGAGACCCCGCTTCAAAAACACAAGGGGCTGGTGAGATAGCACCTGCCTGGCGAGCACAAGGTCCTGAATTTAATCCCTGGTACCAAAAAAAAAAAAAAAAAAAAAAGGTATTTAAATTCAGAATAAAGAACTCAACAGCATTAAAATAAAAACCTGGTCAAGGGCCAGGGAGATGATTCAGTGGAATAAGTGCTTCCCTGGCAAGCCCAAGGGCCTGAGTTCAATCCCCAGTTCTTCCAAACAAAACAAAACAAAAAACAAAAAACCCTGATCAAACAATGGGCAACTGACCTAAACACTTCTCAAAAGCAATAAGTTCAAGAAGCATATGAAAGGATACTCAACATCACTGATCAGTAGGAAAATGTCAATTGAAACCACAGTAAGGAGGGCCGGGGAGCTACCTCAGTAGAGTAAGAGCTTGCCTGGCAAGCACAGGGTCCTGAGTTCAATCCCTGGTCCCGCAAAGAAAAAGCCACAGTGAGGGCCAGGGAGACAGCTCAGCAGCTTAAGTATCTGCCTGGCAAGCACAAGGTCCTGAGTTCAATCCCCCATGTGACCATTACAGAAAATAATATGGAGGCATCTCAAAAAATCAAACAGAAGTACCATGTGACCCAGCAAGGCCACTACTACGTGTATATATCCAAACAAAATGAAATCAGTATGTGAGATACCTACAATCTCATATTCTTTGCTGCACTATTTACAATAGCCAAAAAATGTAATCAACTTTAAATGTCCATGAACATATGAGTGGATAAAGAAAATGTGGTTTAGCCGGGCGCGGTGGCGCGCGCCTGTAGTCCCAGCTACTCGGGAGGCTGAGGTGGGAGGATCGCTTGAGTCCAGGAGTTCTGGGCTGCAGTGTGCTATGCCGATCGGGTGTCCGCACTAAGTTTGGCATCAATATGGTGACCTCCCGGGAGCGGGGGACCACCAGGTTGCCTAAGGAGGGGTGAACCGGCCCAGGTCGGAAGAAAATGTGGTTTAAACTGCATGTGGTGGTGCATACCTGGGACCTACAATGCTGGGAACCTGAGGCAGGTGGATGGACAATTTGATGAGACTTTCTCATTTGTGTATTTGGTACAGGGTCTCACTACAAAGATTGGACTCATGGTGATCTGTGTTAAGACCGCCCAATGCTGGGATTGCAGGTATGCACCACACCTGCACTGTGTGGTCAGCTTAGTGTGCCCTGGAGGTGGGCTGCTGTGGCATGTGAGAGCGGGTGTCGAACCCTAGTCTCTGTGCTTGCCAAAGCAGGCACTTAGTCCACTAAGCTATCTCGCCAGCCTGAGAGGCTGTCTTTTTGTTTGTAGCCTGCTCAGCCAGCCCTGTGGGTGGGGCTGGTACAGCATGTGATGCCTGGGACCAAACGGTGGTCCCTGAGCTTGCCAAAGCTTGCCTAAGCAGGCACTTTAGTCCGCTGAGGTATCTCACAGTCCTTGATGAGACTCTTATCTCACAATTTAAAAAGGACGCAGCCTCGTGTGGTGGCACCAGTCTGTGATCCCTTCACTAGAGAAGCTGAGGCAAGAGGATACAGTGACTTTAAGGGCAGCAGCCTAGACTACATGGTGAGTCCAAGGGCACCAGCTTGGACTACATTGCCAGACCTATCTTAACAAAAAACGACAGGAAAAGGGGGATGTAGCTCAGTGGGCACACACACCAAAGTTTGCTGTCTCCAGGGGTGGGGCAGTTTCTTACACCACCAGCATATACTATTCAGCAACACCAAGGGTGAGATCCTGTCATTTGTGACACAGTTCATACTGCGTCATTACGTGAAATAAACCAGGCACAGAAGAGAAATACACAGGGTGGCACTCACACGTGAAATCTAAAGACATTGCTCTTGGTTCCTGGGGCGGGGGTTATGAACATGGAGGGTCAACTGCTTCCAGGTTGTGGCCATACTGGAAGTTATGTTGTCCTGCTGCACAACAGCGTGACAGACATTGTAATGTACTGCACATTTCAAAAAAGCTAAAGGGATAGTAAATGTCTGCACCGAACAAAAAGAGGTATGCTTATCCTGGTAAAAACATTACAGTGTATACATCCACGGAGGTGGGGAACCTAACATCACACCATACAAATGCGTACTACCGGAGGGATTTAAAAAACTTTTACTCCAGGTTTTACAAAATTTTTTAGCTGAAGTTCATGAAGTGTAAACTTAATAGAAGCAAATCCTGTCTAATGTCATATTATCCTTGGCTCTCTGCTGGAAAAGTACAATCAAGTCTGAAATAATTTTTATTGTACCCTTTAGCATTATAGATGTAGAACAGTGCCATATCATACCTCTGTGAATGTAAACTACCTTGTACCTGCTTTATGATATGTAGTAGTGACTGTGTTTGATCAAAGCTGTTTTCAATGATGCTACTTTAAAATGTCTTCGTTCCGGATGATGATCAAGACGCTAATAAAAAAAAATAAAAAAAAAAATAAAAAAAAAAAAGGTGCCAGGTACAAGAGTAAAAAAAAAAAAAAAAAAACCCACAAAACTTTAAGTGCCAAAAGAACGCAGGCCCGCCCTTGCACTCCCTGGTCATCGCATCTATTCCCCTTGCGCGAGTCCCAGGGGGTCCACTTTCCTAAGCTCTGCGGCTGCGAGGGCGCGCGCGTGCGCACTCACCCTTCCCTCTGCAGCACAGCGCGGCCCGCCGCCAAGCCAGCGTCAGAGCCACAGTCATCGCGACAAGCTCCCCCTAAAGAAACGGCTCACACTGCAACGTGGCCTGTCACCTTGCAGCTCCAGCCCCGCGAGCCGGGCCACGCTTCGCTCACCCGCAACCTCCGCGCGCCGCGCCCCAGTTAACGAGCTCGCCCTGCCGAGGCCGCGCTCAGATCAGAATCGCCTCGATAATCAGCGGCGCGGGACAGGCCCGGCCTCGTCTATCTGATCAATTCATCACCTCTGAGCACCGCGCCCGCAGGACTAGCTCAGGGCCCTCGGGAACCACGGCGCCGCCGCCGCCCACGCGGCCTCGCTGCACAGCGCCCGACAGCCGGGCTTCGCAGGAGGAGAGCTTTTCATTTCGGGGCGGCCCGGCGGGGCTAGGGTCACGACCCGATCAAATAAGATCAAGGTGTAGACGAGGGGAGGGGCCGGGGGAATCACTCGCTCGCCTCGCACGCTCGCTCTCACGCGTCCATTCACACTCTCGGCCCGCACCACACTATACCCCCAAGCCGCGCTCCCTCCCGTGAAGCAGCGGAAGTCCGCGGCCTCTTTTAACACCTCTGCCCTGCCGCGGAGGATTCTGGGAAGAACCACAGAACACCAGCGGCGAACCCAGCACACCCCAGTCGCAGGAGTGCGCCTCACTGCCCCCTCGTGGCCCGGAGGCCCCAGAGAAACGAGAGCTTGATACACTCCTTGCTGAACCGGGTTTGATCTTTGTCTCAATTTACATAAAATTGGGACAGGGAGATAGCTCCGCGGAATAAGCACCTGCCTCACAAGAGCAAGAACGCAGGTTTGACCTCGTGTACTGTATGCTGTCTGTGCTGGCCCCAAAAGTGAGCATGTGTGGCACATACTGGTAATTCCATCGGGTCTGATCCGCATAGCGAGTCCCTCTACCAAATAAAGATTTTTTTAAAAATAAAATTAACATATTCATAGCTACTTACTTTTATTTGCATTATTTTAGAGTGGGCAGATGTGTATACTTGCACATGCCAATAATCCCCGTTGTTGGGAGGCTGAGGCAGGAGGATGGTGAGTTCAGGGCCACCCAGGGTCAGCAAAAGACCCAAGATGAGGGCCGGGAAGGTGGCTCAGTAGAATAAGCGCTTCCCTGGCAAGTGCAAGGGTCTGAGTTCAATCCCCAGTTCTGCCAAAAAAAAAAAAAAAAAAGACCCAAGATGGGTAAAGGCAAGAAAGGATACCCCTAACCTCAAAGAGCCCTCTGCCTAGAACTTGAATGCTGTGACATTCATACTACTGACTCTTCATTTACACACATATCTACTAAAACATATCTGGCTTTCAAACTCGGTATGTGAAAACTAGTAGCAATTATGTAAGTAGAATTAGTGCCTCTCACAGGAGTGAACTTTAACATTTCAACTTTTTCCTTTTTCAATGAAATACGTATGTAAGGGGAGGATTAAAGCAAAAGAATTTGGAGATCAGTACATGATTTGAGGTGGTAACCCACACCTGTAATTCCAGCTGGGGGTGGAGGGAGGTGAAGCAAAAAGATCACAAATTTGAGAGCAGCCAGGCAATTTAGAGTGCAAACTAAAGTGTTTTTTTTTGTTTTTTCCTTTGGTACTGGAAATCACTCACAACCTCACGCATGTGAGGCAGGCATTGTGTCACTGAGCTATACTTCCAGCCCAAAGTAAAGTTTTATAAGGGCTGAGATGTAGCTTAATGGCAGAGTGTTGGCCTGGCTTCCATAAGGTCCTGGGTTCCACTCCCACTACAAAAAAACAAGTGCAGGAAGAAAATGATTTACGAAGGAATAAAAGCTGTGATATATAATCGTACCAGTCCAGTGAGGCTCCTAGAATAAACCAACAGGAAAGGCCTGAATTCCATTGGCACTAAGATTTTTTTCTAGGTACTTCGTTAATCTGATAACTGTATTTGAATGAGGAAGTTCACTGATAATAGATACTTGCATTTTAATAGCAATAGTAGGTTAAATGGACAGGGAGTGCTATCTACCTTAATATTCCTCAAAATTGTATGAAAACCTCTAGTCCCCCAAGGCTAGGCTGTCATTTATTCTCAACTGTATTGTACATTCAATGACCTTGGGTCAGACTAGAGCAAAGGCAGGGGCCTTCTCTTGGAGGGCTGGAAGGAGGGTGTGGTGAGCATGGCTTGCAAACTTCTCTCTGGTGTCCAGCATTGTCTGGTACAAGGCTCAGCCTGCCACCACCCAAAGTGGTTGATTGTTGGACGGAGAAGAGGGCAGTGTTCGGAGTATGTGACAACATCAGGATCCTAGGAAATTTGAAGAAGACCTGATCAACAGCCCCATGTGGCTTCGGGGCTGGAAGGGAAATGAACTGCAGCGATGTATACGAAAGAAGAGAATGGCTGGAAATAAATTGTTCATTGATGACATGCACAACCTTAAAACAACGTATCAGCTATCTCTACACTTTAATCGTCATGGGAAGTAACAGTAGAAGAAAAATGCGGAATCTGTGGAACAGACGCATCCGTCTCCTTCGAGAGGCGGAACAGGACTTTCCCTATGAGGAAAGGGTTTTGTACACTTGCTAATAAAATGGAGCTTTGGGATCTAAAGAAAAAGAATGACCTTCACACAGGAGAACAGAATGATGGGATTCACTAACATGAATCAGAAATATATGGGCATAACCCAAGGAGTAATGAACAAAAGGCAACAAATTGAGCATTTGACAAATAAAATAGACAAAGATTATAGGGAAAAATTTTATTTTCAAGGATTTCTGCAGACAGTGATAAATAAAAAACTGTAATTCTACTATAAAAGGGAGCAACTTTTTCCCATGCAAGGCTCATGGTAACCCAAAGTCGAATGAGGCAATACTGCTGTCCTTGGATCTCTACTCCAATGTGCTTCCCCAGAGGAATAGTTTCTTTTAATTTCTAGCCCAAAATATATGACACATGAGCTATAATAGTGAATTAAGCAAGTGTCTGTTTATCAGCGTAAAGCCAAGAACTTAAATAAGTCATGTATTTCCTTCTTGCTCAAAATCACCTTTTCCTTGTGCACTTTTTGGTACATACGGTGGTAAGACAGTATCTCAGAATATAACTCGAGAGCTTAGGTCAAGACAACCCATGCAGGAAGCTGTAAAAACTAGCTCGAAATACAAGTGTTAAATGGGACTAGTTTAAAATGTGAAGCATCTCTAAGGTCCCAACTTAAAAAGACATCAGCTCTATTAGAAAAAAAGGCATTAAAGCTACAAAATAACAAGTGCAAAGAATGCTGAACCTTGTCCCCTCCAGTGACATTTGGCCAACACATTCCAAACGGATACCCACAAATATAACTTCTTTCATATTTCACTAGATTCCCTTTCTTTTGTGAGAAAAGCCCTCCAAAATGACAATGAAAAATATATAAATCATTGAAACTTATTACCCTGTTGACCAAATTCTGGACAACACCCACACATCTGACATGACAAACAAGTAAAGTTTACTTGACCTTCTACGCTTGTAAAACCTTTCAAAGTATTGAACTGCAAGTTTCAGACTACACTTCTTAGCAGCTTTTATCCTTTTGGAGTTAACAGACAAAAGATCATTTACTGCCATACAAGAGTCAATCATAGTTGACTTACCAAGTTTTACTGTAATGAACAATTCAACTGGAAGGTCTGTTATGCTTCCTAATTATAATTTAATTTTACAGCAACTCTTGTTTTTAAATAGACATTCTATGCTTCACAACTTCATTAGCTGATGTGAGGCCATGAGGAGGGAGTGGAAAAGCCTGCCCTTCAAATGCTGTGTAATCCAGAATGACTGGCTCAGGAGCTAGCACTCCATGAAAAGCCCTTTACTCTCATCTGCAAAGTTCTAGTTAACTGTATTCCAGAAAACATTTTCATTTTATTACTGAAGTCCAAATGTGTCAACAAATACCAGCCACTTCTCTCATTTTAATGTCGCGTGTTCCTACAGAGAATAGAACTTCCAGACAATGAAAGAGCACCGCAATACGAAGATAATTAAGGGTTGATCAAGAAAATCAAGCAATCAACTGAAAACTGCCATAATCCACGCTTGCAAGTGTGTATTCTCATCCCACGGCAAGACTCCCATCTAACATTACAATAAATTCTTATACTAGGTGATTCACTAGTATATGAATTGATATACAAATTTCTTTCTCCTACCCTAACTGCAATATATTAAACAATTATTTCTTCAATAGTTTCTTTTCCCTCAAGGGGTGGCATTTAAATTTTATTTGTTTATTTACTTATTTATTTTGTGTGTGGCCAGCTCAGCCCACCAGGGGGCGGGGCTGACTGGCATGTGGTGCTGGGGGATTGAACCGCAGTCCCTGTGCTTTGATTAGCTTAGCTTGTTCTAAGTAGGTGCTTTAGACCACTGAGCCATCTCACCAGCCCTAGGGGTGTCATTTAAAACTGAAGAACAGTATTCAGCACTAAGTAATTTAGAAAATATAAAAAAGCTGTAGAAATAGTAACGGTTCATTCACTTTTCATTTACCAACTGATTGAATGTAGCCTCCTTTGGGGATAAGGTGGAGAGAAATGTTTTGTTGTCTCAAATCACTGGTTTCTAGTCTCATCAGACAAAGACAACTCCTTGATATAAGCTCAGATTCTCTTGGCAAAACCCTCCAGCTACCAGCACACAGCAAGCTGCTTCATCTGTTCTTTTTGCAATGAGAGCCAGGCCTCTTTCTTGTGCTCCCAGATGGGTGTGAAAGATAAATTTCTAAAGTCACTTTCTTGGCTTTTCACAACTTCTATTTCCCACCCACTACCCGCCCTCACCAATTAGCCAAATCCCAATGTGGAGAGACAAAAGTGAAGTCTTTCACCTTCCACGAGGTCTGCACATAGCTTATGTCCTTCCCTAAAAGTCTCAGCTTGAAAAGATCCTGATGAGGGATTGAGCAAAATAGGTGACAGGGTCTTGTTGTGATTTTACAGTCCTGGGAATCAAACCAAAGACCCATGTTAAGCAAATGCTTTACCACTGTGCTACGACCCAGCCCAGGTGACAGGCTTTTTTTTGGTTTTTTGTTTTTGTTTTTGTTTTTGTTTTGGCGGAACAAGGGATAGAACTCAGGCCCTTGTGCTTGCCAGGCAAGCACTTATTCTACTGAGCTATCTCCCCAGCCCTGGTGACAGGCTTTTAAGCAAGAGGTATATAATTTTATCTCTGAGGGATGTAATTTATCTGGGCATTATATGCTCCCCGCGAGGGCTGATTTACACACAGATCAAGGAAGATGGCTTTCTGAAGTCCCCTGGAGCACAAGTAATGTTCATGACCACGAGGAATTTCCCCAATTTTCCCTGTGGCAGGGACAGACGCCCTGGTGTCATCCTGGGGACTTTGATGATTCTAGCTGAACTCTCCTACACTGGGTCCAGGCGTCCAATAGGTTCTTCACCTCGTCCACGTTTGGCAGCTGATGACTTGGATACTTTGGAATTCATTTTATAAACAAGACGTAAAAGGCCATTACAATGCAGGCGATTGCCACAGCCGCATGGAGCCTGGTTCCAATCACAGCAGCTAGCATCAAAAAGAAAAAGAGAAGTCGTCATACACCCTGCCATCACAAGAGCCTTTCATTTAAGGTGATATTCCAAACTCACTAATTACAGACTAAGAGACCTATCAAGGTTCTCAAAAACCTAAGAATTTTTTAAAATGCTACACTTGCCAGCCATGGTGGTATATGCCTATAATCCCAGCATTCCTGAGGCTGAGACAGGAGGATCACTGTAAATTCCAGACCAGCCTGGGTTACAAACTGAGACTCTGCCTCAAAATAAAATAAAATAAAATAAAATTTAAAAAGCTACACTTATGCCCTACGATCTAGGTAAATGCGTTTATAGTTTATCCTATTTTGAAAAATATTTAGAGGCCAAAGATATAGTTCAGCAGTACAGTATCTGCCTGACAAGTGCATGAGGTTGTGAGGGTTTTGGGGTTTTTTTAAATGCATTTGGTAGAGTCTCACTCTGCAGCTCAGACTCCTAGGGATCCTCCTGTTTTCAGCCTCCCCAGTGCTGGGATTATAGGTGTGTAACCATGCCCAGGCTTGGTCACTGCTCAGCACACCCACATGGGCCAGCACGTGTGGTGCCGGGGATCAAACCCCAGTCCCTGTGCTTGCCTAGGCAGGGGCTTAGTCCACTAAGCTATTGCACAAGCACTTGAGGTTGTAAGTTTGACTCCCAGCACCATCATCATCATCATCATCATCATCATCATCAAAAATATTTAGATAGGTAGTATTCCAGATAATGATATCGCAAATAAAAGGTAAAAATACATGAGTTCATTACATCAAAACTTAAAAAAGCCACGGGGCTGGCCTGATAACTCAGTGGACTAAAGCGCCTGCTTAGGCACAGCTCAGCACCAGGTTCAATCCCCAGCAAACCATGCCAACCCCACCCCTTGCCGGCCCCGCCCCACGAGCCACAGGTGATTGAGATTGGCTGTGGTGGTGGCTGTGCGCCTGTAATCCCAGGACTAGGGAGGCTGAAAACAGGATAACTACGAGTCCCTTCTACATAGTGAGACCCTGTAGACCCTGCAGACCCTGTCCTAAATACAAACTAGGGGGAAAAAAAAGTCACTGTATTCTTTCTAGAAAATCTGAAACATCTTCCATGGGGAAATATTCCTCCCACTGAAGGAATTCCAGAGCAGTTTAAAACTGCTTAATCTGTAGACTTTTACTCCATGGAGAATAGTAAAATTACCTGAAAGCTAAAATAAACAACTGCCTTTTATTTTTTATTTATTTATTTATTTTTTTAAATATTTATTTATTTTTATTTATTACATTTATTTATTGTGTGTGTGTGTGGCCAGCTCAGCCCACCAGGGGGCGGGTCTGGCTGGCATGTGGTGCTGGGGATCGAACCGCGGTCCCTGTGCTTTGCCAAGCTTGTTTCAAGTAGGTGCTTTAGACCACTGAGCCATCTCTCCAGCCCCAACTGCCTTTTAAATAATAGTAAATTTAAAATTTATCTCAATATTTTTGGGAACTGATTATTTCACTATCAGATGTCATATCAGCGATTTTTTTCTAAGAGTGGACAAAATATAATCCCAGCCCATTACATCCCCTAGTTTGTAGCACCACACTGTCCAGAAATGGCCATCTCCTCTCCCTGTTCATACTAAACTTACCTTTATAAAACACACCCCAAACTCCCTTCTTCTCTGACAGCAGCCAGGTTTTGAGACGGGGTACTTTCTTGAAGTAGGCACAGGTGCAAACAAAGAGCAAACCAAACACCAGAATCCCATCCAAGGAGTACACTGTCACAGAAAGAAGAGAAGAAAACCTTTGGTGCTGATAGAGCGTGAGAAAGACGATCCCACCTGATAGCTCCTGAGGACAGCGGACAAAAAGACATAAAATGAAGTCGAGCCTTTGCCTCCTTGGGCCTCTGGAAGCAACCCAGGTTACCAGCAGCTCTACAGAAGCCACCCGAGGAAATCTGGCCAGGGCTCGTCCTCTCTCCAGGGGTGACTGAACACTCCCCCACCCCGTCTTAGCTGGAAATATGGCTGCAACACGAGTCTCTAGCACTGCGTCAGTACGTGAAGGACATCAGCTTCATCAGGTTGGATTAAATAATCTTCCTTCGATGGATTATTCAGGACAACAACTCAGTAAAAGAGAGTATGCTAATTCTTTGTACATAAAATGAAAAATTTAAAAGCTTTCAAAAAAGATCAAGATGAAACCCGAACAGGAGTGCCAACAATGGACCAGAAGGAGCCCACATCCTGGAACTAATAATGTCACCTTCCTGTTTCCAAAAATTCCTTGCAGGCATCCATCCTCCGTATAGCAGCTTCACTGCCTCTGCCATTCATTCCCTTTTACAAACTAGAAATCCAGGCAGAGCACATCAGGGTAGGTGGAACTGGCCTCCCAGAAATGACAAACTGCAGGAGCCCGAACACAAACACTAAACATAACCTTGTTATAAATCTCTCAAATGATGCTTCAATACAGTAGAAAGCTTTAAGCTCCTGGTTCTCTCTCTTCTTACATATGTAAATCAAGCGCTTTACTGTTCTGTTAAACCTAACTGGATAAGTACAAAACAAACAACATTTGACCACAAACGGGGAGGATGGGTGACACAACTATGTGTCAAAATGAGCTGGTGGGTTGGGGTTTTGAGACAAGGTCCCACTATGCAGGCCAGGCTGGGTTTGAACTATGTAGCAAAGCTAGCCTTGAACTAGAAACCTTCTGCCTCAGCCTCCTGAGGGTGCACCTCCACATCAGGCCAGAATGAGTTAAGGTTTTTTGTTTTGTTTTGTTTTTGTTACTGCATATTGAACCCAGGCCCTCACAAATGCTTAGAAAATGCTTTTATTTCTTGGTTCAGATTATTTCTTCCCCTGGGTGATGCCCTTTCTTTTACTATGCACAGTATCCTGAGACCACGGACTGCCCAGCAAATTCCAAGTGGCTATTTTTTATTCCAAGTGGCTATTTTATAACCAGCGCCTGTCAGTTCTGAACCACATACCTCTCTTCTACCAGTAAAACTATCTCACTGCCAGGTCCAATATATTAATACATACACTAACTTTTCTGAAGAAATTATATCTTTCCCCATACTCTTCGCGTTTAATCCTGTTTTGTAGACACTGCCAAAATTCACAAGCAGGTGAAATTTAAACCTTCAGTACCAGAACTATCAACAAGTTACTTTTGAAAATGCTTTCTCGTGTCCTTCAAATTATACTGCCTCAAGAACTGTTTTCTCCTCCTGTAAGGATGACTCTTAAAACCATGAAAAGTCCCGCTTCCTTCCCTCCCCTGGAATTTGGAAATCCAGTCTATAAAGCGTTTGAAGCAGCCTAGAAAAACTAGGTCAGATAAACAAGGTGACAACTCCTATAAACCCATCCCTTGCAACACTACACGCGTTCTCCAGACTGCATCAAAAGCCAAAAGCTTGACACCACTGGAAACGCCGTATTTTCCAAGTAGAACTCTGGGAGGGTGGACGTCGCACAACACACACTCCAAAGGGAGGGGAGTGGGGTCCTCCGTGACCTCTCGGTGAGGTCCTCCCTACGAGGCGGCCCGGAGGAAGATCCCCCCTCCCCGGGGCCAAGCAGCACGGGGACTGGGGGCACCGGAGCCCCAGTCGCCAGGACGAACTTGTAAAGAGAAGAGAAAGCAAAGGGTAGGAAGCGAGGACTGAGGTGTGGGCAAGAGAGGGACCCGGGAGCCCACAAGGACGCTGGGGGAGGGGAGGCGCGGAGGGGACGTAGGGAGCGGGGCGCGGGGCGGCCGAGGGGGGCCGGGCCGGGAGGGGGCAGGGGGGCCGGGCCGGGAGGGGGCGGGGAGGCCACGTCGGTGCCCGCCCCGCCCCCCGTTTCCCCTCGTTCTTCACTCCCACCCTCGGTGGGGGCGCCGGCTCTCACCGTTGGTCATGGTGGCTGAGCCCGCGACTGTGTAAGGAGTCCGGGTTCAGCGCTGATAGCTGCAAAAACGGGGGAACCCGGCTCCCGCTTGGCACTTCCCGATCCGGGCCGGGAACGGGCTGGGACGGTAGTACGCAAGCGCAAGGCGCGAATGTCGAGCACCGAACGCAATCGAGTGCTGCTAGCCGATTGCAGAGCGGGGGGGGGGAACTGCCTGACTGCGCATGCGTACACAGTAGGGTGGGGCGGAGCCCTTCGAGGGGCTGTCGGCCAGGGCGCCGCGATCGCCCTTTCGGAGCTCGCTGGGGGTGCAGTTAGAGCCCGGACGGTGTGTTCGAAAAAAAGAAAGGCTGGAGACTGCGCTGTGGCGGCTGTGTGCGAATGCGTGTGTGTCAGCACCAGCCCATCTGCAGAGGGGCAGTGCCCATCCTCGGGGTTCACTCGAGAAAACCCCTAGGACCGGGCAGGAGCGGCCGCCCTGCGGTAGCCCGCCGCGTCTTCGCGCAGCACTTTCAGGCGCAACTCATTCCTGGCCAGGAAACAAACGCAAAATCCCCCAGTGCAATCGGACGGAAACTGGTAATCAAATCACAGACAATTCCAAGGGGAGGCATTTTAGAAGACCAAACTGGCACACTTTACTACAGCAAGGTCACGACCGTCTTACCCTAGAAAGCAGGTCGCCTCTCTCTGGGCGGTTGGACGTGTTTTTTAATCTTCGAAAAATTATTTGTTTATTTATTTGGTACAGGCTCTCTCTATGCAGCTCCTACTCGTTGTGATCCTCCTGTCTGAGCCTCACCAGCTTTGGGATTATACCTGAATGCCACCACGCCCGGCCACGGTCTCAGTGGGCTCAGCACGGGGATCGAACACGGGCCCTTAAGCTTCCCTGGCAGGCGCTTAGACCGCTGAGCTATCTCCGCGGCCTGGACACCTTTTGAAAGAATGCTTTTCCTTTTTGTTTTTAAGAAACCTTATAACAAAAAGTTACGTAGTCCAGTTCCTAAAATTCCAAGTTATCAGAAATACTCAGGTAATTGCCTGTTTAAGTGGATTTTTCTTAAACAGTCTTAATTATCTCCTGTGTTTGAATCATGTTGTGGGTCACCTGGCCACCTTTGCTACGAATCTATCCTATCTGAACAACGCTGTCCTGAAAACACTTTCGACACTGACGGAAGAGGTCGTCAGCCTAAAGTCGGACTGGGGTGGAGGAGATGGGTGTAAATTCTACTTTGTAAATTGAAATCCGTAATTGCAAATAGCTCCGTCCTCTTTATTCGGGTCGGGAGGGAAGTGAGACCGCGGGTTTTCGTTTTAAATTACCATCTCTAGGGGCTGGAGAGATGGCTCAGTGGTCTAAAGCACCTACTTGGAACAAGCTTGGCAAAGCACAGGGACCACGGTTCAATCCTCCAGCACCACATGCCAGCCAGCCGCGCCCCCTGGTGGGCTGAGCTGGCCACACACACACACACACACACACACACACACACACACACACAATAAATGTTAAAATAAAAAAAGTTAAAAAAAATAAATTACCATCTCTGGGGCCACCGCCCACTACTGCAGTGCCATCTGCTGGTTACAGCTTGCTTAGTTACCTGGAAAAAGAAAAGCAAAGCCATCCTAGATGAGCACAGAAGCAAACCAAAAAAAGTGTGATGCAGCGCTGAGAAAATATGCATAAACGCAGAAACAAAAAGCAAATGAAGTTGGGCATGGTGGTGCAGGCCTCTCTGGAGGCTGAGGCAGGAGAATCCCAAGATCAGGCCAGCCTGGACAGTTTAGCAATTCAGCAAGCAAGACCCTAACTTGAAATAAAAAGAGCTGGGGCAGTAGTTATTTATGAAAGCTCTGAGTTCAATCCCCCATACAAGAAAAGAAAAGAGGAGGAAAGGGAGGAGAGAGAGAGAGGGAGAGGAAGTGGAGAAGAACAAGGAAGGTGTATGGAGCAAATATCCAAAATAGGCCAGACACACCTGAATTCTTATGTCTCAGGACTGCTCAGGGCCACTGAAAACCAAAGCACGAGTGCACAGGGTGTGGTGGCACCTGCCTGCAGTGCCCATACGTCACAAGAGAAGTGCTTCACATTTTAGGCCAACCTTGGCCTCACAGTGAGTTCAAAGCTAGCCTGTCTGCTGAAAAAAAAAAAGCCAGGCTGACTTGAAATTACTATATATAAAGCTACTGTGATAAAAATAGCATGGTACCCCCCCCACACACACACAAATGTACAATTTCAAACATACTGAGTCACTTTATCTTTCACAAAGGATCCAAACCCTTTGCTGGAAAAAAGATGGCCTCTTTAATAAAAAGTGCTGGAAAAACTGGCTTTCAACATACTGAAGACTAAAACTAGATCCATGTCTATCACCATGCACTAAAATTGAAATGGATCAAAAGCTAAATAGTAAAGCAGAAACACTAAATCTGCTAGAAGACAGAATAAGTACAATTTTTTTTTTCAGTACTGGGAATCCAACTCGGGACTTTGCACTTGCCAGGCAGGTGCTTATGCCACGCAGGTAACTCCTGGGCCCAGAATAGGTAGAATTCTTGAAGACACATATAGGCAAAGACTTTATGAAGAAAGCCCTGATTGTACAGGAAATGTTACAAATAATCAACAGGAACCTTATCTCAGTAAAAAGCTTTTGCACAAGGCTGGGAAGAGAGCTCAGCATCTTATGGACCTGGCTGGCAAGCCCAGGGCCCTGAGTGGATTCCCAGTATTGCAAAAAAAAAAAGCTTTTGCACAGCAAAATAAATCATTAACAGAGTGAAGAGACAACCCACACAATGGAAGACATTTGCCAGTTGCTCCTCAGGCAAAGGACTAATATCTAGAACATATAAAGAACTCAAAAAAATCATACCCTTCAAATTTAAAGACTCATTCCAAAAAAGGGCATTTAAAGTGAACAGAAAGGGTTGAGGAGTTGGCTCAGCGGTAGAATGCTTGCTAGCAAGCTGGAAGCCCTGGGTTTAGTCCTCAGCACCAAAAATTAAAAAAAAACAAAAAAAAAAAACCTCCCCTAAAGTGAACAGACACTTCTCACATGAAGAAATAAAAACAGCAAATAAATATATGAAAAAAAGGTTCAACATCACTGGTCATTTGAGGGATGGAAATTTAAAGAAAGCTGAGATTCCATCTCTGCAGAAAGAAAACAATTATCAAGCAATCAATAGCAAATGCTGGTGGAGCTGCAAGGGGGAGAAAGGAACACTTCTGCTCTGTTGGTGGGAGTGCGGACTGGGGCAACCACCAGTCTGACTCATCGGTGTGGAGATTCCTCAAAAAACTAAAAGTGGAGGTTCCATTTGACCCAGCTATTCCCTTCTTGGTGTCTTCCTGCTATGGTTTGTGTCTGGTAGTCCCCCTAAAGCCTCGACAATGTCGATCATGGGGATGGGCTTTTGAGAGAGGGCTGGATCTGGAGTTTGTTAGTTCATTGTCTGGTGCTGCGGTTGGGGAATGAGGGGGACACCCGCCCGGGGGAAATGTAGTCTGGGTACAGTACGCAAGAAGGAAAAGAGCCTTGATTGCTACTCTTGCTGCCTCCTGCTGCCCCAGCCTCCAGGCACTGTTGCTCTCGGCCGCCATATGCCGCCCTGCCTTGGAGCCAGTTGATGATGGGCTGAAACCTCTACAGACTCTGAGCTAACTAAACCTTTCCCCTTTCACATTTAGTGTCTCAGCAGCAAGAAAAGTAACTAAGTTACTTCGTAAAAGAATTAAAAGAAAGAAAAAAAGAATTAGAAGTATCCCAGCACAGTGATACATGAAGAACCATATCAATGGTTGCAGTTTGTAACAGCTAAATCTTGGAAACAACCCTGTGCCCATCAACTGGAGAATGGGTGAATTCATATTTACTCATTTTTTTAAATGATAAAGTACTACACAGCCATAAAGAAGGATAAACTTGAGACATTTTTAATAGAAGCCCCTTGAGATCATACTTTTAAGAGAAAGAAATTGAACACACGTGCATAAAAACCTCTTTGTTATTCTGGTGTGAGAAAGTGTAAATCAGGACCAAAATGTATGCCAGATAATGTCGAATAGAAAGGAAATGCTCAAATGGGAAAGGGAACTAGGGAGAGGGGAGGGGAAAAGAAAGGAAGGGGGGAAATGAGTGAGAAAAGAAGAAAAAAGTGGTAACAATGCTTTTTTTTTTTAAATGCAATCATTTACTGGAAGCTGAAATTTTCTTTTAATATTGTTTTATGTTTTTTGGTTTTGCGGTATTGGGGATTGAACTCAGGACCCTGTACTTGCCAGGCAAGCACTTATTCTACTGTTATCTCCCCGGCCCCGAAACAATGCTTTTGTAAATAAGCAGGGGAAGGGTTTGTAGGGAGGGGAGGGGGATGAGAAAAGTGAATTCAGATGTATCATGCACAGGTACAAATTTCCTATGATGGGCCGGCCAAATAGCTCAGCGGATTGAAGTGCCTGCAAGCAGGCACAGGGGCTGGGGGTTCGATCCCTGGGCCTGCTGTGCCGGCCCCACCCCCAGGGCACGGTGAGATGGCAGTAGGGACTGGGCGTGGTGGCGCATGCCTGTAATCCCAGCTCTTGGGAGGCTGTAAACAGGTGGATCACTATGAGTCCGATCTATGCAGTGAGACCTGTACATGCTATAGACCCTGCCCTAAATACAAATAAATAAATAGAATAGAATAGCAGCACTTGGAACCAGGCTTCCAACCCTTACACCACAGCTGGATAAATGGGCCCAAGCCATTCAAACCAGCACCTAAACAAATTCATATTCACCAATTTGGACTGAATCCTGAAGTTCATCTCTTTCTGGAAAAATAAAAATTCTTTCCTGTTTTGAATACACTGACACTGTGTTACTCACCAACCTGGTTCTGATGGGTGGTTCTGCTTACCCAGGTTCTTCCACCTAAGATGCCCCTACACACCTTTCCTTTTCTTCATAATTAACCTGAGAGATGACCTATTCTGCTCCAAAGCTTCACCTACAGCCTTTGTAGAAAGTTGCAAAATAAAAAAAAAAATTAAAAAGGATTGTGTAGTTTTAAAAACTATGTTCAGGGCTGGGGAGATAGCTCAGCAGTCTAAGTGCCTGTCTGGCAAGCACAGGGACCCAGGTTCTATTCCCATTACTACATGCCCTGCTGGCCCCAGGTTCCCTTGAGCCAGTCACCGAAACAGGGTATGGTGGTGCATGCCTATAATCCCAGCCCTGGGATTACAGTCTGAGCTGCATAGACCTTGTACCAAATAAATGAACAAATTTTTAAAAATAAATTTTTAAAAAACCCAACTATTTTCAGAGCCAGGCAAGGTGGTGCACACTTGTAATCCCAGAACGATGGAAGCCTGAGGCTGGAGGATCGCAAGTTTGAGCCCAGTGGTAAATTTTTAAAATTAAAAATTTGTTCAGTCAATTGTGGTATGCATGCCTATAATCCCAGCTTGGGAAGCTGAGGCAGGAGGTTCACCATAAGTTCCAGCCTGGGCTACATAGTGAGTTCAAGACAGCATAAAGTACATAGGGAGGGCCAACGAGATAGCTCAGTGGATTAAACTCCTGCTTGGCAAGCACAAGGGTCTAAATTTGATGCCTGGTGCAAAGAAAAAGAGTACATAGGGAAACCCTGTCTCAACCCTACCCCCAATTTAAAATTGTTTACTTCTCCCCCCTGTAAAATTGGGTTATAATGGTATCTCCTTTGTAGGGTTGTTAAAGTGAGTTACTATTTACAAGGACTTCTCATGCAAAGTATTACTCTCTCTCTCTGTTATTGTTGTTAATTTGTTTAAAAGGTATATACGAGTGTCTATTATGTGCTGGACACTTGCAAAATTTTGCAAGGATGGAGATAAAAAAAAAAAAAAAAAGCCCCAGCCCTCAAACAACAAAATACACTGGGGAAGACAGGCAAATAAAATAAATCTTAGTAGAATACAGACATTATGCATATAAAGACATCTTTGATTTTGTAAAATATTTGCAGAATACTATGCAAATGAGAAAATAAAATGGGAGTCTCAAAGGCACTTGGGTGAGATCTCATAGTCAGGATCCGAACCCAGGTCAAACTTCAAAGCCGCTTTCCACTTGTTATCACACCGCCTCCAATTTCACTGTGGTTCACTGATCCTGATCCTTTGATGCTTCTGTTCCAGGCATTAATGTTGCTGTCACCCTGGAAGGCCCCTAACCTCGCTGCCACCCATCCCTGTGGGCATGGCTCACCTCAGGCCAAGCTCACTGGCACTTTATTGCAGGGAAGAAAGGGAGCCCCTCTGGGCTGGAGACTCAACTGAGAAGCCCTTCATCAGCCTGCTGCAGCGTACGCTGGAGAACTGGCAGTTGTTGCCAAATGCCTGTCCGTCAAGAACAGTGGCCCGTTGTTAGAGCTGTTCCAGTCTTTGTCGTGAACCCTAATCAGTCTTAGGGACCACGACTGTGGCATTCGAGAAAGTAAGCTCAGCCCCAAAGGCACAGCGTGGGACAGTGGCTCCATTCGAATGCCAACATATTTGAAAAGGGATGTCAAGCAGGCATTAATTTATGCTAAAAATATTTGTTCAGGGACTTCTAAGTCTAAGGAATGTGCTACTCTTTGGAAGCTGGAAGATGAATGAGATGAAACTGACTCTGTTCTTAGGATGTTTAAGACAGTAGAAAAAGATAAGTTGTGTATATAAATAACCAGAAAACAGAGCAGAAAGTGAACAATGTCAAAGGGAGATGACAACAAAGTGCTGTGGGGACATAAAGGAAAACCTGCTTGCAGCCCAGAGCTCAGACCTTGTAGCTGGGCCTGAAGGGCACGTGGCATCCCAATAGGCAGGAAGGAAAAGTTCCCAGTGGGCAGGAACAGGGTGCTGAAAGCCAGGGCAACGCAGGCGATTCCGGGGCGCAGTGTGCTCTTCCTTTCCTCCCTCACCAGCAGACTCCCCTCCTCCTCGGGTCTCACGGCCCACACCACCTCCTCAAGGAGAGCTCGCTGGGTGCTTCTGCCCCTGCTGGGTCCCTGCCTCCCACAGTAAGCTTCCAACGTGCGCACAAGATAGCTCAGTAGAATAAGTGCTTGCCTGCCAAGTGCAAGGGCCTGAATTTAATCCCTGGTT